CGGCTGAGAACTGGGAAATTGACTCAAAGGCATCAGTACAAGAGGCATGGACTCTATTCAGGCAGTTATACAATCGGGTAACTCAACCATACATACCCTGGACTGTCCCAAAGAAAAAGAAGCACGGACATCCCTGGATAGGGCGGGATATTCGACGCTTACTAAGACAAAAGAAGAAATGCTGGGATGTTGCCATCCGCCTTGGCACAGCGGGTACGATGGAACGTTACAGATCGATAAGAAACGAGTGTATAACTAAAATTCGGGAAGCGCAAAGAAAATATGAAATGCAGCTGGCAGAATCTGCACTCAAGCAGCCCAAGAGGATATTCTCGTACATAAACTACAGAACAAGGATTCATCATTGGATTCCCAACCTAATTAAAGTAGGAAGTGAATCTGAAATGATAGAGGAAGATCAGGAAAAAGCTGAGGTTATGGCTGACTACTTTGGGGCAGTTTTCACTCAGGAACCTCCTCTAGAGAAAGAACCAGACCCAATTACAGAGTCAACAAACCAGCTGCTCACCGTGGACTTCGACCAAAACGATGTGCTTAAGGCTCTTAGCACCCTAAACATGGAGAAGTCAACAGGACCAGATGAACTACACCCTAAAATCTTGAGACATATTGCCCAATATATCGCAGCCCCACTGACTGTGATATTCAAAATGTCACTTGACCAAGGTGTGTTACCTATGGACTGGAAGGACGCAATCGTCACTCCCATACATAAAACAGGTCTACGACAAGTTCCATCAAATTACAGACCCGTAAGCCTCACCAGTGTTGTAATTAAAATACTGGAAAGAATAATCAAACGGACCATAACAGCATTTATGGAAACCAATAACTTGCTGAACATGGCACAACATGGTTTTAGAAAGGGTCTATCCTGTACAACGAACCTCCTTATAGCTAGGGAGCTCTGGATTAATGCGCTAGACAACGGAAACTCAGTGGATGTTGTCTACATAGACTTCAGTAAGGCTTTTGACAAGGTGCCAACTAATAGGCTGCTATTGAAGTTGGCAAACCTTGGTATTGCCGGACCTCTTTTAAAATGGATTAAGGATTTCCTAGTAGGTCGTAGGCAAAAAGTAAGAATAAATTCCAAGTGCTCCATCTGGAGACCAGTACTTAGTGGAGTACCCCAAGGTTCCGTCTTAGGTCCTTTACTTTTTATAATGTACGTTAATGATCTTACAAGTATAGTACAGTCTCCAATGTTATTATACGCTGACGATGTAAAAATTTGGCGAGTAATAACTGGAGACAAAGACGCATTTACTCTTCAGGCGGACTTAAATAATATGATAAACTGGTCTAAAGAGTGGCTAATGCCTATCAACTCGGAAAAGTGTGTCTACATGCACTTGGGGGATTCAAAGGTTAATACGTACAACATAGGGGATGTGTCATTACCCGTAGTCCGGTCTCATAAGGACCTAGGGGTGACAGTGAGCAATGATCTTAAGACGACGGCCCATTGCCGGGAGGTCGCAGTTAAGGGGTTTCGAACCCTCTGGGCTTTAAAAAGGACATTCACTAAGCTTGATACTACCATGTTCACCACATTATACACATCCTTAGTGAGAACTAAGTTAGAGAACTGTGTTCAGGCTGCAAGCCCCTGTTTAAAGGTGACTCGGACATAATAGAAAAGGTACAGAGGGCAGCTACGCGTGCAATTCCGGAACTCCGGGTTTATCATATAAAGAGCGGCTTGAAAAACTGAACCTCTTTACTCTGTCCTATCGCAGACTAAGGGGAGATCTAATATTGATGTACAGAATACTGAGAAATGATTTCGGACCTAACTTATTCTCTCTCTTTCTTCCCACTAGATCGGGACACCTCAGAGGACATAGCAGGCGAGTAGAAAAGCCAAGAACGAACAAAATACCCGTGGCATACAGGTTTTCACACCGAGTCATCAATACTTGGAACCTGCTGCCTGAAGCAGTGGTGTCCGCACCTTCAATTGACTCTTTCAAGAGAAGACTGGACACTCACAGAAGCATACTAGAAAAGGAATAACATAGGCCGTAGGCCTTCTCTCCTTACTACACAAATCTGAATCTGAATATACTTCTCCAACTATTCAAACCTGTCTTTGTACTTAACCTTAGATTATGAGGGGCATGTCTGAAAATCCGATTATTCCGTTAATTTAGCTTAATTCGTGGACCAAAACAACTTTTTGCTGAACGTATTTATAATTCTATTCATTGACTTGGAACCGATGGACGTTAGATGAGTATGTGTATCGTTAAAATAACATGTTGATGTGTGCACTTGAACTCTGGAACTATAAATTTACAAGTGTGGAAAAATTAGGCCGTGGCCCACACTCACCGAATATCCTAGTAATTTACTCGTTACATGTCTAAAGATACCACAGAGATCCAGAGTTTTATAACTCATTTAAACGTTAAAAAATATGTAATCATTGTGTACCAACGCAGTCAGATGTAAAGTCAGAAATGAAGGGGTTCGAAGTTTTATTTGAAAAGCGATCGATATGTCTAGAAGCGTTTACTTTAAGATTTCTGCCAGTTGCGAGTGGTGCTTGACACGAAATATCCACTCGTTATCTGGAGTGGATGCGTCGCTGTGCGCCTTCAGATAAGATGTTTCCCCTAAAACTAATGACGTCAGCATCAATTTTGAAGACATAATGAACTATTTGTTTTCCAGATTTATCTGCTGCTACATATACGGTTGGTTATTAGTCGTGACGCTATTGTTGATACGCCATGAATATCTTGATTTGAACTTTATCTTAGTTTTTAAATAACACGAGGAGCAATAATTTTCATTATGGTTTGAGAGGTAGCAAGAGGTTATATAGATGTAGTACAGTTGTGGCCTACTCCGTTATTAGTAGTATTATAGTAAGGGACCTAATCCTAGTACTGTAGGTATGTCATGATGTTAAAACTTAATCCAAAGATCATATGCAGAAGTTCCATCGTTGTCTACACTGACTCGTCGCATGGTACGTTTAGTGTTTCTGCATAACACTTTTAAGCCGTAGTTAGAACAATATATTTAATAAGATTAAAATGGATAAGCGACACAAGAATGACTACTCCTGCAAAGCTGAGCCATGCCATGAGATTTTATTAATGCTCCCGCGTTCACTACTCTTTTTTTTCTGTCAGTGTTACATGTTAAATTCTATTTTCCTAGTTATTTCATGTTCAGCTTTGAAGATTGTGTGGTTAAGGCCGTTAAAACTACACGTCTTTTCAATAACTTTTAAATCAGTTCGAACAATTCTGACGGACTAGAACAAGCTTTTGATGAACATCCCTCCGTATCTAGTAGCAGTGGATAGCCGATACCTCCAGGTGGTAATCTAGATATGCCCAAATTTAATTCGAAAAATATTAGCAAATCGCAGTGACGAATTGTCCTCTCTCCATAAAAATATGTCTCATTTCCTAGCAAACGACTCTTGAAATGTCCAACAAACCACATCAAACGTCATCGAATTCCAGAATTCGAATAATCGTAACGAGTAAAGAATGTGCTCATAGTCTGAGTGGTTCCGCTGTGAATTGCATTTGGAATACAAGGTACCCTATGCTCTTATAGGTAGAGATACAGTGATTCGAGATTCGCTTCAAATGTCTTAAATTTGAGTCCACAAACTGATTTCATGGCTCATATTAAGGTATGCTTGTGGTGTTTGAATTAACTAATGATTCTTTGGTACTTGTTGAATGCTCGATTTCGAATTCCAAATACAATACATTCGTTTGTGCTTGTGTCTTCTTAATTCAATTGCGTTAATTCTGGAATTCCTAGTTCATACGATAATTCGAATACTATATTGGCGTCGCGATGGAGCCTGCAATGGAAAAGTTAGATATTCATTCAACTTCAGAAGCTTTTGAAGATTACTTTGAAAGGTTCGAAATCTGGGCTATGGCCAAGGAAGATGATGAGGATGTTAATATTGTGGCACACTTCCTCACATTCATTGGAAAAGAAGCATATAGCTTATTAAGAACTCTGGCTATGCCGGAAAAACCCATTTCGCTTTCTTATACAGCTCTCAAGGATCTACTGCTAGACTATGCTCAGTATACAAATTTCAAATGTCGTAAAGCAGGAAGATTTCGTAAAATGATTCATGAGGATATAAAAAAGTCCACTACATTACTACGTCATCTCAACCTAGTGCATACTCAAGGTTATGCAGACAATTCATTGAATTTGGATGCAGTTCACGAGGATGGGGACAAGTTTGGTCAGTGTTTGTCCTGTTGCAAGTTCCACTCTTCTAATTCATGTAAATTTCATAATTCTAAATGCTTCAAATGTCGTGATATTGGACAAGTTCAGTCAGTTTGTAATGCTAATGTTCATCTTACTGCAATTAATATTAAGTCTTGTAATTCTGATTCTACTGAGTCGAGTATTCATGATGATCATTTATCTTTATCAACGATTTCAAAAGACAGTGCAGAGTCATATGGCAGTTCAGAGTTAAATGAAATCCAGAATTCTTGTGAGACAACATTTCCTAATCAACCGATTTATCAGAATTCTCATGCTATTGTACCAAGTATGACTTTTCCTAATGATTCACATATTTCTAATGAAATTACTTGCAATTCTGAGGAAAATATGTTAAATGAACCTAATCATGATCGAAAACCTGATGTGGTTTGGATAGATGCTGATATTTCTAACGATCCTACGCTCTGCAATGACAGTCCTGATGAATTTCATGAGAATATTTCAGAAGAATCAAATCCTGATGTCATATCATATATTACCTATCCTCATAATGTATTTGATCTTCGTGAAAAACCTGCCCAATGCGAAGCACGAGTACTAAGTGACCTCGAGTTTTATTATATTTCGGATGATTTCATATCAACTGCTGTTTACTCTTATCACAAAAACAGTTCTAATGTTTACTCTAAACAATGTGAGATATATGTTTTAAATGAAGCCACATTATTCATAACTTGGGAGTATAAAGATCCAACATTATTTCGTGGGGGGGGATAGTGTTGAAAAATCTATGGTTCGAATTCTAGATATTAGTGATTTCATTACAAAACCGACATGCTGGTTGTATACAATTCCAGGTGAGTCTGTTCCGATTTCGTTTGTTAATTCCAATACTAATGAGCACTTTCTAGATACTACAAAGTTTTTATCTTATACAATGTCGGACAGACTCAGGATGAACTTAACAAGAAGACGTACAACCGATTACAAACACTTATACTTCTATTTAAGCTGTGGCGGATGTGGTGTTTGAATTAACTAATGATTCTTTTGTACTTGTTGAATGCTCGATTTCGAATTCCAAATACAATACATTCGTTTGTGCTTGTGTCTTCTTAATTCAATTGCGTTAATCCTGGAATTCCTAGTTCATACGATAATTCGAATACTATATTGGCGTCGCGATGGAGCCTGCAATGGAAAAGTTAGATATTCATTCAACTTCAGAAGCTTTTGAAGATTACTTTGAAAGGTTCGAAATCTGGGCTATGGCCAAGGAAGATGATGAGGATGTTAATATTGTGGCACACTTCCTCACATTCATTGGAAAAGAAGCATATAGCTTATTAAGAACTCTGGCTATGCCGGAAAAACCCATTTCGCTTTCTTATACAGCTCTCAAGGATCTACTGCTAGACTATGCTCAGTATACAAATTTCAAATGTCGTAAAGGAGGAAGATTTCGTAAAATGATTCATGAGGATATAAAAAAGTCCACTACATTACTACGTCATCTCAACCTAGTGCATACTCAAGGTTATGCAGACAATTCATTGAATTTGGATGCAGTTCACGAGGATGGGGACAAGTTTGGTCAGTGTTTGTCCTGTTGCAAGTTCCACTCTTCTAATTCATGTAAATTTCATAATTCTAAATGCTTCAAATGTCGTGATATTGGACAAGTTCAGTCAGTTTGTAATGCTAATGTTCATCTTACTGCAATTAATATTAAGTCTTGTAATTCTGATTCTACTGAGTCGAGTATTCATGATGATCATTTATCTTTATCAACGATTTCAAAAGACAGTGCAGAGTCATATGGCAGTTCAGAGTTAAATGAAATCCAGAATTCTTGTGAGACAACATTTCCTAATCAACCGATTTATCAGAATTCTCATGCTATTGTACCAAGTATGACTTTTCCTAATGATTCACATATTTCTAATGAAATTACTTGCAATTCTGAGGAAAATATGTTAAATGAACCTAATCATGATCGAAAACCTGATGTGGTTTGGATAGATGCTGATTTTTCTAACGATCCTACGCTCTGCAATGACAGTCCTGATGAATTTCATGAGAATATTTCAGAAGAATCAAATCCTGATGTCATATCATATATTACCTATCCTCATAATGTATTTGATCTTCGTGAAAAACCTGCCCAATGCGAAGCACGAGTACTAAGTGACCTCGAGTTTTATTATATTTCGGATGATTTCATATCAACTGCTGTTTACTCTTATCACAAAAACAGTTCTAATGTTTACTCTAAACAATGTGAGATATATGTTTTAAATGAAGCCACATTATTCATAACTTGGGAGTATAAAGATCCAACATTATTTCGTGGGGGGGGATAGTGTTGAAAAATCTATGGTTCGAATTCTAGATATTAATGATTTCATTACAAAACCGACATGCTGGTTGTATACAATTCCAGGTGAGTCTGTTCCGATTTCGTTTGTTAATTCCAATACTAATGAGCACTTTCTAGATACTACAAAGTTTTTATCTTATACAATGTCGGACAGACTCAGGATGAACTTAACAAGAAGACGTACAACCGATTACAAACACTTATACTTCTATTTAAGCTGTGGCGGATGTGGTGTTTGAATTAACTAATGATTCTTTTGTACTTGTTGAATGCTCGATTTCGAATTCTAAATACAATACATTCGTTTGTGCCTGTGTCTTCTTAATTCAATTGCGTTAATCCTGGAATTCCTAGTTCATACGATAATTCGAATACTATATTGGCGTCGCGATGGAGCCTGCAATGGAAAAGTTCGATATTCATTCAACTTCGGACGCTTTTGAAGATTACTTTGAAAGGTTCGAAATCTGGGCTATGACCAAGGAAGATGATGAGGATGTTAATATTGTGGCACACTTCCTCACATTCATTGGAAAAGAAGTATACAGCTTATTAAGAACTCTGGCTATGCCGGAAAAACCCATTTCGCTTCCTTATACAACTCTCAAGGAACTGCTGCTAGACTATGTTCAGCATACAAGTTTCGAATGCGGTAAAGCAGGGAGATCTCGTAAAATGATTCATGAGGATATAAAAAATTCCACTACATTACTACGTCATTCCAACTCAGTTCATACTCAAGATTATGTAGACAATTCATTGAAGATGAATGCATTTCACGAAGATGGGCACAAGTTTAGTCAGTGTTTGTCCTGTGGCAAGTTCCACTCTTTGAATTCATGTAAATTTCGTAATTCTAAGTGCTTTAAATGTGATGATATTGAATATTTTCAGTCAGTCTGTAATACTAATGTTCATCTTATTGCAATTAATATTAAGTCTTGTAATTCTGATTCTACTGAGTCGAGTATTCATGATGATCATTTATCTTTATCAACGATTTCAAAAGACAGTACAGAGTCATATGGCAGTTCAGAGTTAAATGAAATCCAGAATTCTTGTGAGACAACAGTTCCTAATCAACCGATTTATCAGAATTCTCATGCTATTGTACCAGGTATGACTTTTCCTAATGATTCACATATTTCTAATGAAATTACTTGCAATTCTGAGGAAAATATGTTAAATGAACCTATTCATCATCAAAAACCTGATGTGGTTTTGATGGATGCTGATTTTTCTAACGATCCTACGCTCTGCAATGACAGTCCTAATGAATTTCATAAGAATATTTCAGAAGAATCAAATCCTGATGTCATATTATATATTACCTATCCTCATAATGCATTTGATCTTTGTGAAAAACCTGCTCAATGCGAAGCACGAGTACTAAGTGACCTCGAGTTTGATTACATTTCGGATGATTTCATATCAACTGCTGTTTACCCTTATCACAAAAACAGTTCTAATGTTTACCCTAAACAATGTGAGAAATATGTTTTAAATGAAGCCACATTACTCATAACTTGGGGATATAAAGATCCAACATTATTTCGTGGGGGAGGATAGTGTTGAAAAATCTATGGTTCGAATTCTAGATATTAATGATTTCATTAAAAAACCAACATGCTGGTTGTATGCAATTCCAGGTGAGCCTGTTCCGATTTCGTTTGTTAAATCCAATACTAATGAGCATATTCTAGATACTGCAAAGTTTTTATATTATACAATGTCGGACAGACTCAGGATGAACTTAACAGGAAGACGTACAACCGATTACAAACACTTATACTTCTATTTAGGCTGTGGCGGATGTGGTGTTTGAATTAACTAATGATACTTTTGTACTGGTTGAATGCTTGATTTCGAATTCTAAATACAATACATTCGTTTGTGCCTGTGTCTTCTTAATTCAATTGCGTTAATCCTGGAATTCCTAGTTCATACTACAATTCAAATATTATATTGGCGTCGCGATGGAGCCTGCAATGGAAAAGTTCGACATTCATTCAACTTCGGACGTTTTTGAAGATTACTTTGAAAGGTTCGAAATCTGGGCTATGACCAAGGAAGATGATGAGGATGTTAATATTGTGGCACACTTCCTCACATTCATTGGAAAAGAAGTATACAGCTTATTAAGAACTCTGGCTATGCCGGAAAAGCCCATTTCGCTTCCTTATACAACTCTCAAGGAACTGCTGCTAGACTATGTTCAGCATACAAGTTTCGAATGCGGTAAAGCAGGGAGATCTCGTAAAAATGATTCATGAGGATAAAAAAAATTCCACTACATTACGTCATTCCAACTCAGTTCATACTCAAGATTATGTAGACAATTCATTGAGGAGATGCAATGCATTTCACGAAGATGGGCACAAGTTTAGTCAGTGTTTGTCCTGTGGCAAGTTCCACTCTTTGAATTCATGTAAATTTCGTAATTCTAAGTGCTTTAAATGTGATGATATTGAATATTTTCAGTCAGTCTGTAATACTAATGTTCATCTTATTGCAATTAATATTAAGTCTTGTAATTCTGATTCTACTGAGTCGAGTATTCATGATGATCATTTATCTTTATCAACGATTTCAAAAGACAGTACAGAGTCATATGGCAGTTCAGAGTTAAATGAAATCCAGAATTCTTGTGAGACAACAGTTCCTAATCAACCGATTTATCAGAATTCTCATGCTATTGTACCAGGTATGACTTTTCCTAATGATTCACATATTTCTAATGAAATTACTTGCAATTCTGAGGAAAATATGTTAAATGAACCTATTCATCATCAAAAACCTGATGTAGTTTTGATGGATGCTGATTTTTCTAATGATCCTACGCTCTGCAATGACAGTCCTAATGAATTTCATAAGAATATTTCAGAAGAATCAAATCCTGATGTCATATTATATATTACCTATCCTCATAATGCATTTGATTTTTGTGAAAAACCTGCTCAATGCGAAGCACGAGTACTAAGTGACCTCGAGTTTGATTACATTCCGGATGATTTCATATCAACTGCTGTTTACCCTTATCACAAAAACAGTTCTAATGTTTACCCTAAACAATGTGAGAAATATGTTTTAAATGAAGCCACATTACTCATAACTTGGGGATATAAAGATCCAACATTATTTCGTGGGGGAGGATAGTGTTGAAAAATCTATGGTTCGAATTCTAGATATTAATGATTTCATTAAAAAACCAACATGCTGGTTGTATGCAATTCCAGGTGAGCCTGTTCCGATTTCGTTTGTTAAATCCAATACTAATGAGCATATTCTAGATACTGCAAAGTTTTTATATTATACAATGTCGGACAGACTCAGGATGAACTTAACAGGAAGACGTACAACCGATTACAAACACTTATACTTCTATTTAGGCTGTGGCGGATGTGGTGTTTGAATTAACTAATGATACTTTTGTACTGGTTGAATGCTTGATTTCGAATTCTAAATACAATACATTCGTTTGTGCCTGTGTCTTCTTAATTCAATTGCGTTAATCCTGGAATTCCTAGTTCATACTACAATTCAAAGAATTCAAAATATTATATTGGCGTCGCGATGGAGCCTGCAATGGAAAAGTTCGACATTCATTCAACTTCGGACGTTTTTGAAGATTACTTTGAAAGGTTCGAAATCTGGGCTATGACCAAGGAAGATGATGAGGATGTTAATATTGTGGCACACTTCCTCACATTCATTGGAAAAGAAGTATACAGCTTATTAAGAACTCTGGCTATGCCGGAAAAGCCCATTTCGCTTCCTTATACAACTCTCAAGGAACTGCTGCTAGACTATGTTCAGCATACAAGTTTCGAATGCGGTAAAGCAGGGAGATCTCGTAAAAATGATTCATGAGGATAAAAAAAATTCCACTACATTACGTCATTCCAACTCAGTTCATACTCAAGATTATGTAGACAATTCATTGAGGAGATGCAATGCATTTCACGAAGATGGGCACAAGTTTAGTCAGTGTTTGTCCTGTGGCAAGTTCCACTCTTTGAATTCATGTAAATTTCGTAATTCTAAGTGCTTTAAATGTGATGATATTGAATATTTTCAGTCAGTCTGTAATACTAATGTTCATCTTATTGCAATTAATATTAAGTCTTGTAATTCTGATTCTACTGAGTCGAGTATTCATGATGATCATTTATCTTTATCAACGATTTCAAAAGACAGTACAGAGTCATATGGCAGTTCAGAGTTAAATGAAATCCAGAATTCTTGTGAGACAACAGTTCCTAATCAACCGATTTATCAGAATTCTCATGCTATTGTACCAGGTATGACTTTTCCTAATGATTCACATATTTCTAATGAAATTACTTGCAATTCTGAGGAAAATATGTTAAATGAACCTATTCATCATCAAAAACCTGATGTAGTTTTGATGGATGCTGATTTTTCTAATGATCCTACGCTCTGCAATGACAGTCCTAATGAATTTCATAAGAATATTTCAGAAGAATCAAATCCTGATGTCATATTATATATTACCTATCCTCATAATGCATTTGATTTTTGTGAAAAACCTGCTCAATGCGAAGCACGAGTACTAAGTGACCTCGAGTTTGATTACATTCCGGATGATTTCATATCAACTGCTGTTTACCCTTATCACAAAAACAGTTCTAATGTTTACCCTAAACAATGTGAGAAATATGTTTTAAATGAAGCCACATTACTCATAACTTGGGGATATAAAGATCCAACATTATTTCGTGGGGGAGGATAGTGTTGAAAAATCTATGGTTCGAATTCTAGATATTAATGATTTCATTAAAAAACCAACATGCTGGTTGTATGCAATTCCAGGTGAGCCTGTTCCGATTTCGTTTGTTAAATCCAATACTAATGAGCATATTCTAGATACTGCAAAGTTTTTATATTATACAATGTCGGACAGACTCAGGATGAACTTAACAGGAAGACGTACAACCGATTACAAACACTTATACTTCTATTTAGGCTGTGGCGGATGTGGTGTTTGAATTAACTAATGATACTTTTGTACTGGTTGAATGCTTGATTTCGAATTCTAAATACAATACATTCGTTTGTGCCTGTGTCTTCTTAATTCAATTGCGTTAATCCTGGAATTCCTAGTTCATACGATAATTCGAATACTATAATGCTTCAGTGATTTATTTCTCTCTCGGAGTGAGGGAGGAAACACTATATTTCCATACTCTAAACGGGGTCAAACCAGGTTATTAAGGATTACATCGAAAGTCCTACCGTTGAACTGGGGAAAAATGAGCCTCATGGTCACCAATACAAAGTTTGTTCGGGAGGTATTTTTGCCGCAACTAGCATTAGATTTCAGATCACACGGTGCCGAAATTCCTAGATCCCTTACAATTTGAGATGCCTCTAAACATGAACATAGTCTGCAACGTATCTCAGTTGGACTACATTGCAATCCGAAATGTTAAAAGCAAGTCCATTATTATTCGCTCAACTTTGAATCCGAGCATGATCCTCCTAAAATGCCAAATTTTCAACTCGGTTGCCAACTTCTCTCCCAAGTTTCAAATCGTCGGCGAAAAGCAGCAAACCAGATGACACTTTCCAAAGATAGTTATTTATATGAACTAAGAGAAGAGATCCTAGTACTGAACCATAAGATACCCCACAATAACAATCGGTACCCCTGGAACGAATGAAATTTATCCACTATCTAGATATAAAGTAAGACAATCCACTAATTGTGACTTGATACTTAGATGTTTGCGTTTGCTGATGAGACATATATAATCGTGGGAACAAGCTGCTCCATCCCTGTGTTTTGTCATTGTGGAGCAAACAAAATCCCTCCCCTTGGTCTCTAATTGCAGAGAATACCAGTGTTTTAGATATTCCTTTTAAATGAATATTACTAGCATTACTTGGTTCACTCACCCTATCCATTTTACCCTATGAGCTATTAGTGTTCTGTGTAGCTTGTTTGTACTTTCAGTTCGAAACTTGTGAACTTTCTTGTCCTAATTTTTGAATAAGCCTTATGTGAATGGACAAGTAACCAACCCACGGTGTTTCCCTTGTTGATAGTCACAGTCGAGTCTACGTTTTTACTTTGTTCCTGATAGTCTGCAGTTGATATAGTCAGTTCCAACTTGCTTTATTTTGATTGAATGTGTACAACATGAATATAATAAAAAGATAGGTCCCTTCTTCTAAAGTTTTTTATTGAAAGCGTTACAAGAACTACTTGATAAAGACTCGATTGTATTCACAGGTGGTACTGAGCGAAAAGATCCACAGGGAAGAACAAATGTTTACTTGTCAACCTTGACTGAGTGGGATATCTAAATTGTTTTCAGTCATGTTTTATCGGTGTGACTGTGTCCGAAATTTTGAAACACAAGAATTCTGCAGGAGTGAATTTACATCCAACCTTGTCAAGTAAACCTAATGTATCCACAAGCTGAATAACGGTCATATTTACGTTCATGTATTCATTTAATTTGTCATATTATGCATTTTTTTATTTGAAAAACCACACTGTGCTGCGAATTTCGCTCTGGCTGTAATTTTTATTTGAACCTAGTGTTACGCATCAATCACTACGTTCAGAATTTAAAGAAAGATTGAGTGAATGGGCCTGTGATAATGGAAGTTACAGCAAAAAAATGTGACGGAGAGTATTTCTTGATATATATATCTGTCGTAGAGAGGCACTCAACAGAAGTTCGAAAATCTTTTAAGTAGTTGGATCCTTGCTGGTGTTTTAGGAAACGACTTCCAGTATTAAGTCGGAGTTATGGGCTCGATTGCAATAATTTTGTATTAGAAGCCAGGTAGTATAACTTATCTTGATTTAACAAATGAAAGTTGAAGACCTAAACACCGCTACACCACCTAACTCCATCACGGTTATACATATTTAAGTCTAGATATGCTAACTTTCATGATGTCGAATTTAAGGTGCTGTGGGTTGTGAGCAGCTGACAAGAACCAAACGAAGTCATATTATTCTGCTTAAATTTTCATCCTTGCAATATTTGGAAATAATTAGATCGTTGACCAGTTGTATACCGTAGAAAAAAGTAACAAATAAGAGAAAAATGCTAGAAATCTAGGATATTACAAAAGAGCAATAAAAATAAATAAATAAATATAATATTTGAATTATCGTATGAACCAGGAATCCCAGAATTAACGCAATTGAATTAAGAACTACGACACAAGCACAAACGAATATATTGTATTTGGAATTCTAAATCGAGCACTCAACAAGTACAAAGGTACCATTAGTTCATTCAAACACCACACTAAAGTTGTATACAACAGCGTCAACCCATCCCAAAAATATCAGAAACATTGTCGTCTTGTACAAAAAACTTCCCTTAACAAAAACAAATGTTGGATAGTACCTCTTTCTCATAACCGATGAGTTCAGTAATTTAAATGGTCGACACGGCAGCTATACATACATATAATCGAGAGCGCCTTGAAATTTATGGAAAATCACTAGATTACAAAGTTATCAAATATTAACGAAATCTTCACTTTGGAGTTGTGGAGATTATTGGATTTCAGTGAGATCAACAATGGCAGATGATCGTGCAACATCTTCGATTGGTTTAAGATAGATAGTAACGCCGTTGGATGCCGACTCCGTGATCTAAAGGTTAAGCATTCGCGAGGCCGAAGGTCTTAGGTTCGAATGCAGAGTGGGGGATCGCAAACGAGCGCTGTTGAGGAGCCCCATACTAGGGTGAAACGGTCGTTTAATGCTCCCAGGTTTTCAATAATGACATAACATTAATCGATTTATGATTCCAATGAAATTATCTAAACCATATGTTTCAGTAGACACTGACAATTTAACTGAGTACTTAACAAATCTAACGAGTTTTGACAGTCGTCTTATCACCACTCTGCAATTTAAAGTACTTGGATCAATAAAAAGTAGATTAGATGTTTGATGTCCTACTATTGTTTAGCAGACTCAATGTAAAACTCAAGTGTTAGGGATATAGTTCCGAACGAAAAAACTAGGATGTGAACAGAGACTAGGGTTGTGTTACACTAGCCACTTATATTATCGCAACTATGATATTCAAAGGCAAGAAAGTTAGATATCCAAATATCACAAAGACGAAAATCAAATCTCCAAACGTAGTTTTTAAAACCTAATTATTTAATCAAATGGATAAAGCCTTCTATGAATCCTTAGTTATAGGATAATTTCGTGAGATTCAATTATTTTACCACTGTAAGATGATATGGTAATACACAGCGTTTTATATTATAATTAAATTAATTAGTGGATTTGGCACGAAAAGTCAAGAAACAAACCATTAGATAAAAGAGCCAGAGCAGCAATTTAGAGCTTGTGAATAAGAAGTCTACAACACTGTCTCTTAGAAAATAGTCATAAAATGTGTGAAACAGGGTTGGAGGCTACAAGATAATACGAAGATTAGTGATAGAGTCTTCAGAAACAAACGACTACAATAAACGTTTCCTTCAAAGTAGACAAACACAACATATATTGGTACATAAATCTGCTCGTATCCAGTACAGTTTCTATCCATAAAGACAAACTTAAAGAGGAAAAATTAAATTAACTACAGATTATTATCATTACACAAGATACGGATAAGAACAATATAAATGCTCATTTTGAAATAAGAAGTTACTTGGAGGAGGTATGAAAAAAACTTATTTATGAGACATAGGAAACAGCGTCGAAAAATAAATCTCTAAAGCTTTTCTGAGCCTGTTTAAGTAAATAGGAATTCAATTCATGGTTTTCAAGATATGAAATAAGACGTTTACATTCGCTGAGGTTAAAATGCAATCTGCTTGAATTATTTGTACCAGTGATGAGAGGAAGACATTTAACAGATTTTGGTACACTTATAATCCGTATTTTCAAGCTACACAAAGGAAATCTACCCTGATTTATATGTTCAAAGGCATGACGAATACAAAAATGACCAAAATCTTTTGCCCAAGAAGCTGGTGACCTGTAGGTATTTTCTCTGTTTGACGGATGTTTTCTCTTCTGACCAGGATGATCAGCTTCTATTTCCAACGATGGAACTGCTGTAAAACTACGTTGACAGATGCTACATGATACAGAGAGAACACAAAGAGCATCTATACAATCCTTATTGTTTGAAATTGGCATAAACGGTGAATTACAACGAGATGAAGTAATCCAATGATTCATAATTTTATCTAATGTACGAAAATATTGTTGGCAACCAGGACATACCAGTGGTTCTTGAATTTTAAAACTCTTACAATCAACACCTTCCCGTAAGTAAAGAGAGACTGGTTTTCAGTATGTTGTAAGCAGTGGTGATATGCACACATAATCTGGAAAAAACGAAAGCAATCAAATTAGAACGTTGTTAAACAGTTGATCAACTAATGTAAAAAAATAAATAAATAATAACTAGACAGTAGCCAAACTAATGGAACTCCAGAGGATAACACTTTCCTTAGAAATGATTATTAACACTGAATAGAAAATTTCGGAGTAATCATCTTTTACAGAAATAAATTCAATTTGCATGTGCATAAATTGTTTCAATACAACCAAAAATGTACTTCACTGTCTTAGAAATAAAACTTTTCAAATTTCCTCAAAGACCTCTTTGTTTCATATGATACAGTGTAAAAGTAAACACAAAAACAATGCGGTATCTGCGTTCTATCATTTTATGGACAAATAAATAGTATGATTAACTCATTCATGCATGAACATTCAATTAGCAGCCCTGCAGTGTTGCTCTACTTAATATATGATGGACCAACAGTAAATTAACAAAATCCAGTTCTTTCACACGATGTTTTAATAACTTTCATACTCATTTTAAGTGTCGATTGAAATATGATTTGGTTGAATATAAATCGTTGGTAATAAAGATTTGAATAGTAACACAAAATATTTAATCAGAAATTATATGGACATTGTGATAACTATTTGAACTACATACAGTCGGGTACCAGTTAACGTGGACCTAGTTGAAAAATTAACAATCATTAGTAGAGGGATCTAAATTAGATGCTAACTACTTGGGTGAAGACAATAAAATTACTTACACAACATACGTCCTATATATTAAGTCGAAAATTAAGAAAAACGTTTACGTGGTTCATAGTGGATAAAAGATACATTAATATAGCGAATAACGATGATTAACCTATTGCCTTTACGTGACAGAATTTGCTTTTAACACAATGAATTTACTTAAAACATAGAGTGACAATCTATGACTTAAGGCATCGCATTGACTCTATGATAACGAACCGTAATGAACTCTAACTCCTCAATTAATTTTTCACATAATACTTAAGCTAATATCCTTGAGCTATTGTGGTAAAAAAGTCCAAATACAAAATATTCTGGAAGGAATTATTCCATGTATTACTTAACGCAGCCACATGGAAAGTAAGAAGAGGCTTTTAAGCAAACTACTCAAAAGTATGGATGACATATATATGTGAAAATAAAACGTATAAAATAAGTAAGTAAAAAGGATAAATATAAACACACTAAAGATTACAAGTGAACAATTGGCAACGTCAAATAACAAAAGTATACGTAGAGTTAGTTACAAGATGCTTGACCCGAAAAGAATTTGTCTACAAGAAAGTTGGAAGATTTTCATGTAGGCGTTATAAGGAGTTTATACAACTCATTACAAGCCCATGTTGATAATAATAGAACGTTGTTTCACGAATTCACATGTCAAGTTAGCTGGGTAGAACTAGTGACTAATATGTGACTCACTACGATGGTCTAAGATATTCGTTTTATGAAGACATGCCGGAATTTACTTTGTGTTTTTTATTGTTTATTTAAAAATAAAAGCATTTTGCAGTGAGAAATACTTTGATGAGTTACATAGGATGAAATAACAACGTTAGGAACAAGTGAAAGGAGATTCATTATATTAGCATAAATATGGGCCATTGAGACAAAGTTAAAATGAGAGAAGTGACAGGAGACTCCATTTATTAAACCATTTAGACAACTAGTTCATTTTCTTATTCGTATGTTATCTCTATCCTTGACAGGAACTGGTGACAGGTCGTTTAATCAGACTCCCTTATTTTCCCTATAACTACGCTTTGTAAGGTGGTCCTTAAGCAAAATGTGTGAAATATATGGTGTAAGAGAATCGCACTTACTACTATACAAAAACTAACAGACTAATATCAAGAAATCGAAACAAGGTCAACGGAGTGCAGTAACAATAACTAGAATGTTTCTCAAAGTAAGAGACTTTGCTCAAGATTTTCACGGTAAATGGTAAGTGCAGTTATAATTTTGAAACAAATTAGATGTTGGTAGGTCATTTCTAAGTATCGCGTCATATGGAAGTAAGTATTTACCACTTGTGGAAAAATGAGATAACTTATCCAAAGAAATTACCTTATCCAAGAATGGTAAATTACAAGTAGGACAGCACACTACTGTATCACCAACATGCCAACCATAGATTCTGTCTGAATTATTAGAGATAACACGTGGCTTTTGCAGCTCACTTGACATGTCATTGCAATCATTTGTATAATAGCAAGGTGAATATTTACTGCATGTCAAATGATTTGTTTGTTGCAAATGTATCTGGGCATCATTCTCTGTTTTACCAATGTAATCACAATAATCACAAATAAAATAGCATGCTGATATGCACTGATATTGATTAGCTAATTGTACAGAATCTTCAAATAAACAAGCCTTATCAGTGAGCAGCATACAAACACGCCTAAATTCTTTATCAGATATATTATCGACTTTAATTTCAACTTTATGACGTTCAAGTGACTGTTCTACAACTTTAGACTTTACCACTTGGGTTGTGTTTATATTTTTTGTAGTCCGAAGAAACGGAAATACTTCCGGTGAATTATCATGAAATGGATATTCTAGATAATTTCTCATAGTTATATTTGGTGGATATTTGTAATGATCACTTTTGATTGACTTGGCTACAGAATGGTTGGACATCGATACATTCCATTGGTGAATAAACTCAGCACGTGCTCTCATTAGATCAGCTACAGGATAGACAGATATACTTGATGATTCGAGGGTTGAAAGCTTTCTGTATTTCCCACCTGCATCTGAATATTTCAGAAACAACACCAAAATAATTAACGTAACTTAGTAACCAAATACATGTCGTGTACCTTTTATTCGTTAAACTGATTTTATTTTTTCGAATCATAGTCTATGTTTAATCTTTTCTACTACTATGGGATTTGTCTTGATAACTTTACCTTGCCGTGTTGATACGGTTTAGCAACTTGAACTTACACACAAGTATGTCAGGTTCCGTACTGTGTATGACTGAGTATAGGCCATTGTAAACATATTTAAGTCCCTATTTTATAAATAATGTTACTAGGCTGCCAAGAGACTTATTAAACGAAATTTGAAACTACAACCAAATAGCTGAAAGTTGAATGCTTTAACAACCATGACACCACTATCTTTATGGTAAATGTTAAAATAAAGGATTTTCAAAAGTCAAAAAGTAAACTTATTATTTATGAAGCTAAATAAACGAACTTTATGAATGTCATGAACCGTAATGTTTTCGCTACGTTTGAAGAGATTACGATACCACCTGTACCGGTGAATGAAACGAGAGTCAGCGACACAAGATAATTTAAACTATTCACTGAGCCCCAGCCCTGCTAACAAGAGGGAGAAGACCAGATTTAGCCAAGGGAAAAGTATATTCCACAAACAGTTGGAAGCACGCACAAACAAACGTATAACTTAAGAGTATAGATGCAGTATGAAAATATCCTTGGAAAACGTCACAAAATAGCGTATTAAAGGAGGAAACGAACCAATGATATTTAAGATCCTTCCAAGTGGGAAATACAATCTGAAGGTAAGAGCGAGCGTTTGTGGCGCGAAAATGAGAAATTCGAATTTTCAAAATAAAATTGCAAAAATGAGACGTTTACCAATTAATTTCATGGGATTTAGCATCGTTAACAGTTTTGTCTTTGAACTTAATGAACTCACAGAAACATGCCACCTTATTTTCTTAATTAACTTCATGCTGAAAAGAATAGTGAATTCTTCTCGTGATTATTTGTTTTAGAAAAGTAAGAGTAATTTAATTCAGTTTAGGATATTTTTAATCATACTGAGAATTTCCACTAGTCACTTGTGACTAAACACACTAGAGGTTATAGGGAAATCTTAATGTCGGTTAAAAAATTCTAAACTGAATTTAAAAGTTTGGTGGTTGGAGTTGGTTAATATGAAATCCTGAAAATAGGCTTCGTGCTACTTGACATTCGTCAGCAAGGCGTAATCTCAAAAGAATTCATGCTCCGTACTGGAATTGAACCAGCGTCACTCTTTACTTTTAGGATTTTATATTTTCCATGCTTTTAAGTCTGTTTGATGACTTACTATACGCATTCATGCTAAAGTGCACAACTTGTTATTCTGATCAATTTCTGAATAAAAATATGATAGCACAAATTTTGAGTATGAAATTACCAAACAAAATTTCATCTGGACGTATACTTATTGTTTCTTGAAGGCGATTATGAATCTCACGTAATTATTTAATACTACTGAAAGATGAATGAAATTATCACTAACATTAAAGATTTAATTCCTAAGTAAAAGTCTGAAGGATTTACCTCATTTTTAAACAAAACATCAAACAGGATATCTTCACGCTCAGAAGTAAACTTAAATAGTTTTATGAAGGCGATTCGGTGGAGCTCTTGCACAAATAATGGACAACTTAAGATTTAATATTATATATATAACTCCGCCTGGAGTCCCTCCGGGGGCTACTGCCGGTCCCAAGCCCGGATACAGGAGGAAGGTTGGGCGTGGAGTTACCGACCCCATCCCGTAGAAAACTAACTCGCTAAAAAAACGCCTACCAGAAAAAATTACTCAAACCTTTTAAACTCTGCCTTCGGAGTCAGAAGGTCTTCATTTAGAAGAACTATGACGCCTCATGATGAAAGCCGAATTCCTTCGGAAGTCACGAGGTCGATGCCCCTTCTGACAACCAGAGCAACCATTTATTTAGGTACATGGAATGTTCGTACAATGTGGGACACCGGGAGAGCCTTCCAAATTGCTGCAGAAATGAGGAGATACAACCTAGAGGTACTTGGGATCAGTGAAACACATTGGACGCAAGTTGGACAACAACGACTAACTTCAGGGGAGCTTCTGTTATACTCCGGCCATCAAGAAGAAAATGCTCCACATACACAAGGAGTTGCATTGATGCTGTCCAAACAGGGACAAAATGCACTTATAGGATGGGAATCTCATGGACCAAGGATCATCAAAGCCTCCTTCAAAACAAAGAAAGCATTTCAATGAACATCATCCAATGCTATGCGCCTACCAACGACTACAATGAAGACGCTAAAGATCAATTCTACAATAGGCTGCAGTCAATCGTCGAGAAGTGCCCAACAAAGGACCTGACTATTCTGATGGGAGATTTCAATGCCAAGGTTGGAACGGACAACACTGGATATGAAGACATCATGGGACGACACGGACTGGGAGAAAGAAACGAAAATGGTGAGAGATTTGCAAACCTATGTGCCTTCAATAAACTGGTCATAGGCGGCACCATATTCCCACATAAACGCATTCACAAAACCACATGGACTTCACCGGATCACACCACACAAAACCAAATCGACCATATTTGCATCAACAAAACGTTCAGGAGGACTATAGAGGACGTGAGAACCAAGAGAGGAGCTGATATAGCATCAGATCATCACTTGCTGGTCGCCAAGATGAAATTGAAACTCAAGAAGCACTGGACAATGGGGCGGACAATATCACAAAAGTTCAATACGGCCTTTCTTCAGGATACTAACAAACTCAACAAATTCAAGATAGTCCTCAGCAATAAGTTCCAGGCCTTTCATGATCTACTCAATGGAGAAGGAACTACTGTGGAGAGCAACTGGAAGGGGATCAAAGAGGCAATCACTTCAACATGTCATGAGGTCCTGGGTCACAAGAAGCACCATCACAAGGAATGGATCACTGTTGATACACTGGATAAGATTCAAGAAAGGAGGAACAAGAAAGCAGCAATCAATACCAGTCGAACAAGAGCAGAAAAAGCCAAGGCACAAGCTGAATACACAGAAGTAAACAAACAAGTGAAGAGGAGCATCAGAACCGACAAACGTAAATATGTGGAAGATTTAGCAACGACGGCGGAAAAGGCTGCAAGAGAAGGAAACATGAGACAACTGTATGACACAACGAAGAAACTCTCTGGAAATCGCCGCAAACCAGAACGACCAGTGAAAAGCAAGGAAGGCGAGGTAATCACCAACATTGAAGAACAACGAAACAGGTGGGTAGAACACTTCAAAGAACTCTTGAATCGACCAGCCCCACTGAACCCACCCAACATCGAAGCAGCACCCACGGACCTCCCAATCAATGTTGGCCCACCAACAATTGAAGAAATCAGCATGGCCATCAGACAAATCAAGAGTGGCAAAGCAGCAGGACCATATAACATCCAGCAGAGGCACTAAAAGAAGACGTAGCGGCAACTGCAAGGATACTCCACATTCTCTTCAATAAGATTTGGGATGAGGAACAAGTACCAACAGACTGGAAAGAAGGACTTCTGATCAAAATACCGAAGAAAGGCGATCTCAGCAACTGTGATAACTACAGGGGCATCACTCTTCTCTCAATACCGGGAAAAGTCTTCAACAGGGTATTGTTAAACAGGATGAAGGACTGCGTAGACGCCCAACTTCGTGACCAACAGGCAGGATTCCGTAAGGATAGATCGTGTACAGACCAAATCGCAACTCTACGGATCATTGTGGAACAATCAATTGAATGGAATTCATCACTCTACATCAACTTCATTGACTACGAACAAGCATTTGATAGCGTGGACAGAACAACACTATGGAAACTTCTTCGACACTACGGCGTGCCTCAGAAGATAGTCAATATCATACAGAGTTCATATGATGGATTAAACTGCAAAATCGTGCATGGAGGACAATTGACAAAGTCGTTCGAAGTAAAGACCGGTGTCAGGCAAGGTTGCTTACTCTCACCCTTCCTCTTTCTCCTGGTGATCGACTGGATCATGAAGACATCAACATCTGAAGGGAAACACGGAATACAGTGAACATCTAGGATGCAGTTGGACGATCTGGACTTTGCAGATGATCTGGCCGTTCTATCCCAAACGCAACAACAAATGCAGGTGAAGACGAACAGTGTGGCAGCAGCCTCAGCAGCAGTAGGTCTCAATATACACAAAGGGAAAAGCAAGGTTCTCTGATACAACACAACATGCACCAATCCAGTCACAATTGACGGAGAAGATTTGGAAGATGTAAAAACCTTTACGTATTTGAGCAGCATCATTGATGAACAGGGTGGATCTGATGCAGATGTGAAGGCGCGGATCGGCAAAGTAAGAGCAGCATATTTACAACTGAAGAACATCTGGAGCTCAAAGCAACTGTCAACCAACACCAAGATCAGGATTTTCAATACAAATGTCAACACAGTTCTACTGTATGGGGCGAAAACCTGGAGAACTACGAAAGCCATCATCCAGAAGATATAGGTGTTTATTAACAGTTGTCTACGCAAAATACTTCAGATCCGTTGGCCGGACACTATTAGCAACAACGTACTGTGGGAGAGAACAAACCAGATCCCAACGGAGGAAGAAATCAGGAAGAAGCGCTGGAAGTGGATAGGACACACATTGAGGAAAGCACCCAACTGCGTCACAAGACAAGCCCTCACATGGAATCCTGAAGGCCAAAGGAAAAGAGGAAGACCAAAGAAATGGAGATAGACATGAGAGAAATAAAGAAGAATTGGATGGAACTAGAAAAGAAGGCCGAGGACAGAGTGGGTTGGAGAATACTGGTCGGCGGCCTATGCTCCATTAGGAGTAACAGGCGAAAGTAAAGTAAGTAAAAAGTATATATATATCACATTTTAAAATGACTGAATAAACTGGATTTTAACAGATCAGAAAATTAGAGATATGCTAGTTCCAGAAAAACCTTTAAAAAAATACTTTTCTGGGCTTGAAAATGAACTAAATTAGAGAGAAACTATAACTAAACCAAAAACGAATAAGTTTGGATGCTTATGAAAAATAAACCAATGAAACTGGAAAATGATGGGATGAGAAATGTTTTAGGTGACGTATTTTTACGAACTTTTTGATATGTTTGAAAAAAAAGTTTATTTAAATATATTGACCTAACTTTTGTTCAAGTTTTCCGATTATGCTACGATTAAAGATATGACTAAAATAAATTGAAGTAGAAGTTGAATTCGATTTGTGTTTCTGTCTGTTAAAAAACAGTTTGGATCGCCAAAACCTGAAAAGCGAATTAAACAGTAATCTATTCACCAATCTTTAGTTCTTTCAAATATCCTTTACGGTTTTTTCCTCAGGTAATCCACATTTGTTGATCGTAATACACTTCTAATGATCTCGTGGTAAATGCTATTCTTGCCAATGTAAACGTTTTCAATATTATGTTTATTTTAATCAAACAGTTTGCAAACGAGCAAATATAATGATCTGTAAAGAAACTTAACATGAAACAAAGGGATTAAGAACCAAAGAATTCGATGGTGAATTTGTGGTAATAGTTCTACTACTTAAAGTAGACACTTTAGACCTTCTCCATCCCTTTTTTTCCAGTTTCATTAAATTCAAAGAACGAAAATTACAATTCTAAATTTATAATACGCGATTATTTTGATTGGTCTACAAAAGTAACAGAATGTAACTTTCAGAGTATTCAAATCGTCGCTGAGATTAGTATTGTATTAGGAGTAAATGCAACACGAATGATAATTATGTCTTACATTATCTTCTAAATCAACAATAATTTGAAACATTTAATCACTAACTATTTAATATTTAAAGATTACATACATAGAGAAATGTAAAATTTAAGAGAAAGAGGACTTACTAAGGAAACGATTATTTGAAGATCTGATGTACTTCATTACTAGAGAAATAGTCCTGAAAATGAAAAACTGAAAGATTCATCTCAACAAAACGTGGTGGAAAACTTGAAAAAAGACAACACATTACCTCCAATATTATTTTGTGAAAAGGGTTAAAAACGGGAAAACCAAATCTTATTTCAAGTGTATTTAGCAAACGTCCTTCTAAAGTAGGACTGATTTGCAAAAGCTAGAGAAATATTCCCAAAAAAGAATTGTTTTAGCTATCCCAAAATGTTGTAAAGAATCAATGTAAACACCGAAAAAAAGCGTATACTACGTTATTATAACAAAAAGAACCGAAAAATTCAATATCAGTAAATAAATTATTATCTTTATATCGTACTTCACAACAACTCCGTAGTAGGATCTACAGAAGACTGAACATAATCTAATATGGACACAACATATCGACACTGAGCTAGGTACACTGAAGTATCTTTTATTCAAATTGGCTAATATAAACTCAGTAGTTACACAATTTCAGTTAAACCCACTGCTATATAAAGATAATAAACAGGTTATTTGATCATATTCTGAAGGTTAGTATGAGGTCTTTATCGCTAATATAAACGTAGACATCAAGATTAGAAATATTAATTCAGCTGTTGTGAGCTGTCAATTTTGATCAAAAACCAGTTATTAAAAATAATATGATGACTTCTGTATAGTAATCAGAGCGTGAGATGCTGAGTGTAGTTGAACCTCATTGCTAGCTGCTATATCTTTACCAAGACCCTGTTAATAATATGATATACATTGTGATGTTAGAATAGTTCATTTACATTTATTGAGATATAAAAGCGTCAATTCAAAGTTTAGTCTATCTCCTTATTCTCATGCAATACTCATCGTTGCATAAGATCTAGTATAGTCTTAGTTGCACTTCTGGACCGTATAAGAAACCTAACTATGAATTACAACTCTATCAAACTGAATGCTGCTCCTATATGCGATTGGTAGATAAACCGCGTCCTGGTTGTTCAAGTGGCCTACTGTCATTAGTACATCCGGAAATCTATGTCGTAAGATTATTTTGTGAACAGCTGTCACGTGATCAATTCACGTAAATTATTGAATAAATGCCACGTCTATAAACTCACGATCATTTCATCACAAAATATTGCAACATCAAGATGAACAGCACATATTTACAAGACCTTTAAAAAGGTAAGACGTGAAAATAATACTATCCATACATGACTTCATTTAAATTCCTGTCATACGATGAGGCTGGGATGAAGATCAAAAACAACGGGGATATATTTTCCGCTAAGTTTTTGCAAATTGTGGTGCTATACGGTTACTAGATAAACTATGAATACCTTTTATCAAAAAACGTTTATCTTAGTACTAAAATAAAGCCAAGTTGCACATGTTAGTAATATATGTAAGTGATGATCAAATCCACGCAGAGAAATAATTCATATTGGTCAGCAGTATTCATCTTTCCAAAACCTGTAACTTTTAGTCAGTGCTAACAGAGATAGTGAAAAGAGGTTGCATTCAGTGACTGCAACATTTGTTAAACTTTTCTGTGCTTATAAAGTACTCTGATACTGCATGGAATAAAAACGAATTTCAGAACTTTCCCGAAGAGGAAGAACGTTATTATCTTCGTTATCCTAGACTTAAACAGTATGAGTCTAAACTTATGAATACGTTGTAAATGCAACAAAAGATCGTTACTAAACAAAATACTGGTGTATGACCTGTTTTGTTAAAAATTCATAATGATGACAATAGGTTACGTGAAGATAGTAAGTATATTGTTGTTGGCTTTATTAATTGATTTAATCTGAAACAGTGTATTTGACATCTATCAAGCAACAGAAGATAAGGCGTCAACAAACATTTCTCAGGAAATTTCATTTGCCATTCGTTATTTTCTTGTAGTGATTTCGGGTATCCGTGTTATTTGGTTTACTTTTAATATGATTATCATTCAAAAAAATTCTGCAACCTAATTGAAATTTATGATTCTGTTTGATAACTACATTCATAATCAAGAATGATATTTTTCTCACAAGAAAAGTGTTTCTAAATTGATGGACAGTTCTTAAGCAGTGACATATTAAAGAAAGAAAGCGATATCCAAACACTGATTAATGTGAGAACACAAACTAATCTTACCCACAGACAAATTTACGGTAGGCTCATTTGTATCCAGAAGTGCAAAACTGGTAACACGTTATTTCAGTTTCGAGACAGATGAAAAACTTGAGGTGCTTAAAAAAACCCAACTTGAATTCAAAGGCTGAAAAATTAACAAAAAGTAGAAACACAACTACAATTACGTTTACAGCTGTTACATAAAAACAAACCAAAAGCTGAGGTTTCATTACTCCTGAGAAGGCAAATAAGTATATAAAACCAAGACACAAAAATGGGAATGGTCGAAAGAAAAATCTATAAAAAACATTGTGAAAGCGTGAATAATAAAAAAGTGAGACATTATGGGAGACAATCTTTTGCCGATAACGTTCCCATTATATTTTATTTTATTTGGACACATGAATATTGGTACAAGAGAGCGCCAATATATATGCGCCACACAAAACAATGAAAATTCGAGAGGAATACAAAGAAAGAGAAAAAAAAGCTAAGGAGCGCAACAAAAAAAGAGAGAACAATAACGAAGAGATTGGTGTAAGGTAATGTGCTAGTAATCAGGGAACGCAAAGGTACAATCGGAAGAAATCTTTCAGGTAAGGGAGACACAACCACTTTTTATGAAGAAAGTAAAAGAAGGTTACAGCAGGATCGCCACTGGCTTCTATTCTGAGCCATATCTGATAACGTCTCTAGCCACTGTGTAGCACCATCTCTCAGACCCCAACCAGGGAGTCGTGAAGGACCAACACAAGCCAGTCCTTTGCAGCTTTCTTTCATGCCACGACACCATGTCATGCACTGACCACCTCTCCGCTTCTTCCAACCAGTCCCAGAGTCGGCAAATAATGCACGACGTGGAATTCTCTGGGACGACATTCGGAGAACATGTCCAAGCCACCGAAGTCGGTGTTTCAAGATGGTGACACCAATTGAATTATCATCTCTGTGCCCGAACACACGATGCCGAACCTCTGCATTACTGACATGGTGTTGCCACTGAATGTCAGCAATCCTTCGGAGACAGCGATGATCGAACACAGAGAGTCGTCTAACGTCCTCAACTCGGAGAGGCCAGGTTTCACAAGCATAGAGCAAAACTGCTCTCACCGACGCGTTGTAGATCCGACCTTTTACAGCCAGACTAACATCACGAAGGCGCCAAAGATGGCCCAGATTGGCATAAGCCGCTCTGGCTTTCACTATACGTGCATTGATCTCATCACTCACACCCCCACCAGCACTTATGCAGCTACCCAGATACACGAACTTCTCGACTACGTCTATCTGCTCACCATCCAGGGTGAGTACAGGATTGGAATCCTGCCAGTCTTGTAGAAGTACTTTGCACTTCGAAGGTGCAAAGCACATACCATACCTACGGACACTGATTGCCAACTGATTAAGTGCGGATTGCATGCCTTGGGCATTATCGCACAGTAAGACAATATCGTCCGCATACTCAAGGTCGAGAAGTCTTTCTCCAGGCAACAGATCCACACCACCATTACTTACATTCATCAGAGCTGTTTCCAGAATGTCATCGATGGCAAAGTTGAAGAGGAATGGTGAGATTGGGCAACCCTGCCTAACCCCACTGCTCGAATGGAACAATGGAGAAAGGTGGTTGTATGCCCTCACTCTGCCTGAGGTGTTTTTATATAGGGCCTTTAGGATGTTAATAAACTTCTCAGGCACACCCTTCTTCAATAGACAATCCCAGAGAACAGTCCTGTCCAACGAATCGAAGGCAGCCCTGATGTCAAGAAACACTACGATTGTTGGCCTTTGAAAAGTATGGCGGTGTTCTAACATTTGGCGGAGGGTGAAGATATGATCAATACATCCTCGACCAGAACGAAACCCAGCCTGCTCCTCGCGAGTCAATCTTTCTCGGGTTTTGAACAACCTACGAAGTATGACGGAAGCCAATAGCTTGGACGCAATCGGAAGTAGACTTATCCCCCGATAGTTGTTACAGGAACGACGTGAACCCTTTTTAAAGATAGGGACAACTATCGACTCATTCCATGACGTTGGTACACACTCTAGTTCCCAAACCTTTGTAAACAACGTCGTCAATTCCTTAGTCAAAAAGTCACCACCATCTTTAAAAAGAGCCGGAGGTAAGTCATCTGGGCCAGGTGATTTGTAACGCTTCAAGAGTTGGAGTTCCTTGCGGACTTCCTCCTCGTTTGGTGGATCAGTCGTCACCGGCCATGGAGGGCAGGACAGTCTGACCGATGTTGCCGGAGCAGCAGGCCAGTTGAACTGCCCTTCGAAAAATTCTGCCCATCGTCCAAGACGTCGATGGATGTTAGTGATTGGCATCCCATCATCCTCGCAGATTGTTTCACTCACACCAGACTTCTTGCTGCCAGTGGCTCGGATGAGCTGGAAGAGCTTCCGGTAGTTACCAGATGCAGCTGCTGCTTCCAGCTCATTAGCACGCTTCGACCACCAGGCTTCTCGGTCCTTACGCAAGCTTTGCCCAATTTCCTTACGTAACATCCTTCGTTTATGGTCAAACTCACGGTCACCCGGAGTAGACCGACGGGCTTCAATGAGTTGTAAGGAACCAGAAGAAACCCAGTGCTTAAAAGCGGGACGTTTCGCAAACCCACAACTGACTGTTCCCGCCATTTTCATGGCGTCATGCAATTGCAACCAATGCTCATCTATACTTTTCGGTGGAGTGGTAGCTAGCCTAGAGGCTAGCTCGGTTCGATACTTACTTGCAACAGAAGTTGCAACCAGCTTGCTAACATCAATCCTTTGGTGGTGGTCACTTCGTTGGCCACTGAAAAGTAAGGCAAGATTGGCGCAGACCAAGGCATGGTCAGAGTCCAGATAGGTACTCCAAAAGGAGCGGCAGTCTTTTACACAACCACGCCAGCGGTAGCTGATCGCGATGTGATCAATCTGAGTCCAGGCTTGAGATGCAGAGGGAGGACGCCAGGTGGCACATCGGCGATGACTGTGCCGAAAGTTAGTGCTAGCCAGAAACAGGTTGTGGTCTGTGCACAGTTGCAGTAGACGGTCCCCGTTATCTGACCTGCGACCAACAAGTCCCCATCGGCCACCTAAACGACTCTCTTCTGTGCCTAGACGCCCGACCTGAGCATTCAAGTCTCCGGCTAGTACTACAATATCTGTCGAACGCACTTTCTGGAGAAGAACAGATAACTGGTGGTAAAACTCATCCTTGATTGCATCCGGGCTGCAATCTGTCGGGGCATAGGCGGAGATGACGAAAAGACATCGTTTCTCACGCCGATTTCTCACTTTATATATCCAGTGAGCGAAATGAAACAAATCTGTATAAACCGGATGAAGAATAAGTTTTTTACAAACTACGTTGTTAAGGATTAGATACACTATCTCAAGCCTTTTACCAACGTTGAACCGGTGGTTGATGACAATTGATCATAGCGCTACAAACAACGACTTCCGACAGAAATATTTCACCAGAAATACAACTAACTTAGAAAAAAATAAAGACACATCCGTACTCAGAATCATAAAAGACCCTGTTAGTTGTTAATAGTGTCCAATTTACTGTCCTAAAACTTGGGCATTTAGTTACAGTACAATAAAACCAGACTAGACTACACTGTGCACAAATATTTAGAAATTGATGATACAAGGTAGGCCTAAGGCAAAAAATGGATGTAGGAGTCATTGATTCTCTATACCAATTTCAAACGTTGAGAACATCCCCTCCTTTTAAGCGAATTTCTGTAATAATTTTGTAAAACTCAGGTTGGAAAATTTTTGATTACATGACAGAATACGAACAAAAGACTCTTGACTGCTGATTATTAAATCCCAATACACTAGAGTATCAGACATACGAATGACTAATGTATTATCTAGATGTAATCATCCTGCTTCGGTTTGGGCACCCGAGCAGTATCACAGCCCACACACAAATCAAGTGACTTGTGTGGCGCATATGTATTCGGTGCCCCTTTGTACCGATATTTGTCCCAATAATAATAATAATAATAATAATAATAATACGTAACCATGAAGCATTCAATATGAGTTCACTTAGTTGAAAGAACACGAGTCACATACTAAAACCTGAAAGAGTTTCGAGGATATATGCTTAAATATATGGAAGTACGCTTCAAAAGTGCCACCAAACAAGATATCCTTCAGACTCATGACGAGTTGTTCTTCTTTATGCACCTTTTGGAAGTTATTTCAATATTTAACGGTGAAGGTGCCACAAAGTAGTGTACTTCCAGATAACATCGGAGTGTGACCTAATAGTATTATCTTTATCTTTCCCGAAATCCGAGATGGAGCTAACCCTTTTCGGTATTTTGGACTGCAAAGAACGACCCATATCGCTTATTACAAAAACCAATGCCAATACAAGAACGCCGACGTCTGACCTACAGCTTATAGTTTTAAACCGGTTCAAGGTCATCAGTCCGGCGTCACCTTGATTGACTATGACCTCAAATAGTTCAAATGGTTGTGGACGGAATAAAAGAAGCTTTCGCTTAACGGCATTCCGTATCTAATATCAGTGGATCACCAATACCTCTAGGCAGGAATCTAAGTATATTAACGATAATAGAGGAAAAGGGAGTTGGTAAATCATAGTAAGATATTATCCTTAGTCCGTAAGAATAAGTCAAGTTGCCTCTTAAATGACTCCTGGGAAGTCGCTTGGAATAGCTCATCCGGCAGCGAATTCCAGAATTTGACAACTCTTAGGGAGTAGAAGTTGTGTCTTTAGTTTCTGGGTGTTACTCCTTAGGTTTGTGTTAGAGCTAAACTTAAGTAGGTGTTTAAGGGGATGTGCAGAAGTGTTAAGGATACTGTAAGTCACTAGAAGGTCACTTCTAAGACGCCTATACTCTAGTGGGCAAAGGTTTAGTGACCGAAGACGCTCTTCATAAGGCTTGAATTTGAGTCCCTGAACTGATTTCGTGGCTCGCCGTTGGATGCGCTCCAGAGTGTCCTTATCCTTTTGGAGTGAGGGAGGAAATACTATATTTCCGTACTCTAAATGGGAACGAATAAAACTGTTGAAGATCATGTGGAAAGTTCCTCTGTCAAACTGGCCAAAAATGCCCTTCAATGTTACCAATGCGAGGTTTGCTCGAAAGGCATTTTGTCACAGTTAGCGTAAGATTTCAAATCATGGGGTACCAGCACTCCTAAATCTTTTTCAACCTGAGATACTTCTATAGAGGAGTTTTCAAAGTTGTAACTGTAGTCTGCAACATGTCTCAGATGGACTACTTTACACTTTGAAGTGTTAAAGGTAAGTCCGTTGTCGTCTGCCCATCTTTGAAGTCGAGTCACATCCTCATGAAGTGCCATCACATCCTTTTGGTTGCGTATCTCTCCCTCCAAAATTTCACATCATCAGCAAAAAGTGGTAAGTCAGACGATACTTGTTGTGGAAGATCACTTATAAAAATCAAAAAAGAAGAGGTCCTAGTACTCAACCCTGGGGGACCCCACTAGGACATTCCATAGCCTGAGAGAAAGCGAAGTTCACCCTGACCTTTAAATGTCGATTTTTTAGATGTGAAGTGAACCAGCCAACTAGAGGTGATTTCATACCCAATCGTCTGAGCTCATTGGAAAGACATATATGGGTGATTCTATCAAAAGCTCTTGAGAAGTCTAAGTAAATGCTGTCGATTGCTGAGAAGGAAAGGGCACTTCTGTGTGTAATACAATTGAATTAGCGACAACAACACAATAGGCAGTTTAAATACGTGTTATCAAACAAAACGTTTTTGAGAGACTTGTGAAAATGCATGTTAATTAAGCGGCATATTCAGACGGAATAATTTACATAAATTTGTCTATGGATTTCCATCCCTCATCGTCCCCTTTACTTTCCCGAGTTTGTCTTTATTTCGCCCTCATTCTTTTCTCGGGTATTTAGAAACACAGTAAAAATAATTTCTCTTCATCTACACCGTTAAAAGTTTTTAAATACCGTGAATAATTTGTGTTCAATGGCAAAACTTCATTCCGCACCTTGTTTGGGATATTACGAATTTATCCCGTTCGCACCGAAGTGGCAAATGTTTAAGCAGATTATGGATTCATTTTAAGTCAACTTCGACTTACTGTGGTATCTTTAACTCTGAGCACGATGTGATCCGGTACATCAGACAATAGGCTACTTGTGTGTTCTCTATTTTTCTGCTTACGTTTCATTTTTTATTTTAGTTTTATATATGCCTACATTATATTTGTGTTCACGGATTGTTTCGCCCGTTTGTATATTTTATATTCATTATGACTGAACAGACCCCGAAACTGTTTAGATTAGGACCCCTCCCGCCTTTCATCTCATGTCATTCTGGTATTCTGCGCAGAAGCTGACTTTCACGAACACGGCGTGACAAATGCACGTGCAGAATTCCTCGCAGTAGCAAAGACACTATGATGCGATTTTGACAGGTTCGTCACATCCAGTATGTTTACAAGTGATGCTTCTGAACTATACGACACCTAACAGTTAGACCGCAGTCAACTGGTGTTTTCATACAACCTGCTTTACGACACAGTACACACGTTTTCGTATGTCGCCATTCATTACGACGGTCTCTCGAAATGGCATGTGAAGTATCCTTCAAATTTCTCATAATATTTTGTTTCATCTCGTTCTTTTACATCATTGAATAAAAAACATGTTATTTTCTAATATGCTCATACATGTTTGTATTTTTTCGCTTTCTTTAGAAAAATCCAAAAAAAAATCATGCACAAAATTCTTTTACGCGGTCACATGTTATCAATTAGTTTGACTAATGTAGAATCTAAAATACTAGCCTCAATAATTATCGGGCGCCTGACGAAGATTTGTGAACTGCAAACACGAGGAAATCAAGCTGAATTTAGACCTGGTCGTGGCTTCATCAACCACATATTCGCCATTCGTTAGGTTTTAGAACAAACAACCTCGAGTGGTGTCCGACAAGTCTGCTGACTAGCTCCATTTTTGTTCAACTTCACCATGGGCCCACTGCTGGAAATAACGTTCTCGTCGACCGAATTTTCGGGTAGTGATCTCTTAATAATATCGACTTTCCCTTCCGCGATTTGGTATCGTTGGGCCAGCGAAATGTCACCAAGCACTAGCCATATCATCCGGCGAATAGATCAGTGAACATCGAACAAATCGTCGACCCTCGTCAAGGTCAAGGACAACCAACGCGCACCAGTTAACCGTATGCAGTGTACTTGCTGACGCGGGCATTGGGGAAGTCAGAGGTTTTCGCGCACATGTCACACATTGTCGTGGATTGTTTGTGTCGCTATTTATCAGCTATTAACAGCCTTTTTTCCATCCCACGTCAATTTCCGTAATGTTTGTGCTTGTTACTTAGGTTTTATTCCAGTTTACCAGTAGTTTGACGTATTTGATGCTCACCAACTAAGTGAAACTTTGGTAAGCCTAATATGGTTGTTTGTAACAATGCAAACTTAAGCAAGTAAAATTCACCATTTTTCAAGTCAAAAAATAGATTGCAAAATTGAGTTTTCATGAAAATAAGCTTTGAAACCTATTTTATCTGTTTCACATCCTTGATTACGGTCATGATGAACATGGGAGTTGGTAGTTGTTTATAAAATGTAGGTTGAAGCAATTAAGCTTTAAACTATTTATGAACATTATATAACTAGCTAATATATAGCTGTAAACAGTTATATCCACTATAAGTATCATCGTTTTGTACTGAAGTGACTTACTCTTATGTAACGTATCCGAGAAGAATTATGTGACTAACAATTGACGATGATAGTCTTTTCCATCCGCTTACTGAACGTATACAGGAACCGAGTATAACACCACTGGAAGTGCCACATTAGGTAGTCACAAAGTCTTCATAAGTAAAACGATGAGTGTTTCTTTTGAGCATGGTGACAAAACCATGTCGTAGTTAATACTGATTTATGATGTGTCTGTTATAGGGTTCACGAATAAGTTACTGTAAACAGAATCCACAATCACTGACCAAATTATGAACAAAGTTATAATGCATATTGTCGAGTAATATATAAATGGTGCTTACCAATTTTTTTGTTAATATCAAATGTCTAGGTGAAATACTAGAAGGGTTAGAAAAGGAAGCGCGCTGTTTACATGAAATAAGAAACTTATAGGTTATTTGTAACCAGCTAGTGAAGTCATAAATATACTGAAATCAGAGTTTTAAAGCAAAATGAGCTGTGAAACCATTAACATTTCATTCACATCATAGACTTGGTACAAACAGATGTCATAAGACTGTGAAGCTCCCAGTTCTTGATACGACATAACCCTAGAATCAAATAACAACTATTAATGAGTTAATTCTTGAATTCCTGCTACATTACAGACTGACTTGTCCAAATTAATTCATGCAAAATACGTGACGAAAAGTGAACGAGCAATCGAAACCAAACCACAAATTTAAAGCACTCATATCTTCCTTGTGCCACACTAATTAGTCACATTTTCCTCATAAGTAGAATGATGCCTGTATGTTGTGATCAAAGTAACTACAGCAATTTGTAAATAACATTAATTTGTGATGTGTCTGTTCCAAAGATTACCAAAGAATTTCTATTAACAGAATCCCAAGTCTCTGATGAATAGCACTGTTTACAAATAAGAGAATTATAGATACATTCTATTACCTGCTATTCGATTAACTTATTGAATTTGATACTGATAACAAATTTTAATTGTTTGTCTCAAGACTGATTTGTTGTTTTTCAGAATAGTATGAAGCTTGTGGAATTTATGATTATGAAAGGTTGTGTGGAAAACCGGTTTACAAGTTTACAATAACTGTTTTATATTGCCTACTGCCATGTTTATT